AAAAAAAAAAAAAAAAAAAAATCAGCTGTGAAACTGTCCCATTTATATTTATTTCTCAATAAAAAAATAAATAAATAAACAAACAAAAAAAGGTAGAAAAACTAGAGGAGCTGGAGGCCTCGATGTGCTCCAAAAAAGTAACCTCTGAGGAACTTTACATTGTTTTTTTCCTGACCTTGTTAAAAAAAAAAATAATAAGCGAGAAAAATTTTGGTTAACACAAGTCTTATTTTGATCAGCAGGAAAACATCACCAAAAAGGAGTAATTAGTAGGAATATAAAAATGGGAGAGCTAAGGCTAGACATGGAAAGGGGTTCCCAACACCCAAGCAGCTGTTAGTCTCCAGCCATCCCGATAGTATCTTAGCCCACAGCCACGAGTCGGCAGGACCCCTGTCCCCCAGATCTTCCAGAAATGTGTCTTCAGCCTCATGTTATGTTAGTGTTCTTTCAAGAAGCCCTCAGGGAGACCAGGGAGATGGCTCAGTGGAATAAGCGCCTCCCTGGCAGGCACAAAGGCCTGAGTTCAATCCCTGGTTCTGCCAAAAAACCCTTAGGTAAAGATTTGGCCTCTTTTTTGCCCATAGGATAAAAATTAAAATTTTACTGGCCCAATGATCATAAAAATGTAGATCTCTTTGTTTTTTTTGTTTGTTTGTTTTTGTTGTTGTTGTTTGTTTTTGGCAGAACAGGGGATTGAACTCAGGCCCTTGTGTTTGTCAAGGAAGCGCTTATTCCACTGAGCCATCTTCCCGGCCCCAGTGTTATCTGTTGTAATTAAAATAGAAGGAGTTTGGATTTCTTAGGAAGGCCTTTGTATCTCTTAAAGTCTACCCGTTGTACTTGATTTAAAACCTCTGGACATAGGACCAGCCAGACACCTCAGTGGACTAGAGCGCCTGCTTCGGCAGCGGGGGTTCAATCCCCAGTGTGCGTGCTGGCCCTGCCCCAGGGCTAGCTGAGACAGTGATGGAGACTGGGTGTGGTAGTGCGTGCCTGTAATCCCAGCGCTTGGAAGGCTGAAAACAGGAGAATCATTCCGAGTCTGATCTAGTAGTGAGACCCTGTACACCCTGTGGGCCCTGTCCTAAATTCATAAAAAAATAAATAAAAAATAATAAAATAAAACCTCTGGACAGAGGTTAATATTAAAAGTCTCGTGCCAGCTAGTAGTTGTCTGAGTTCTACAGCTCTGTGGCCCTTCTCATCAATATTCTACTTGTAATTTTTTGACCCCTGTTTGACATGGTTATAGCGCCAAATAGGACAGTGCACATCTGTAATGCCAGCACTCGGGAGGCTGAGGCAGGAGGATGACTGTGAGTTCAAGGTCAGCCTGAGCTATAGTGAGACCCTATCTCAAAAAACAAAAATGAAATTTAAGAGTTAAAGACTCGCTGATGTCCAGTCCCCTTTTCCAGACTGTCAAAGGCTGACAGTTGTCAAACAACCATATCCATCTGCTTCTGTCGCCTTTCAATTAGTCATGGTGAACCTTTGATCCCTGGCTGAGAAGGGTGGGTCAGTGCCCCCTGCGTGAAGCTGCCTTAGAAGGAGGGACCTTCAGTCCCTCTGTACCCCTTAAGAATAAAGCTCAAAGTCAGGGTGGGGGTGCAGAGAGAGGAGGACAAAGGAAATACGGAGAACAGAGACTTGTATTTTTGTTTTTTAATTTTTTTATTTATTTGTGTGTGTGTGTGTGTGTGTGTGGCCAGCTCAGCCCACC